GGCGGAGATTAAGTGTTGAATCTCCTTCCTTGCCGAGTGTAGTGCCTGTAAGGACTTAAGTAGTGAGAAATTGTGAATTTCAGTCGCCACTTTTACCCCTATCTTGGGCAGAAGAGGCGGCGGTCTCCCAAACGTGATTTCATATGGGGTGAGGCCTTGGAGGTAAGGGGTACATCTCACCCTCAGAAGGGCAAAGGGGAGGAGGCTCATCCAGTTCTCGCCAGTTTCAAGTTTAAATTTGGTTAAAGTTTCTTTTAAAGTCCTGTTCATTCTTTCTACCTGGCCTGAACTCTGAGGTCTATATATACAGTGTAGTTTCCAATTAATGCCTAATATTCTGGCTAAGGTTTTGTTGTGACCGGAATAACCAGACTCAACCTGAGTGCTTTGATTATAGAGGAAGTTTATTAGCCGGCGGCTGTCCTTCCAAAGGAGCAGCCCCGAAATGCCAAGATACAAGGTTTTTAAGCCCTAAATCCCATTCCTCATTCTGCCTTAAACGCAAAGGTCCATCTTTCTCCTCTTCACTACCTGTCAACCCACTGGTCAGGTGTGCAAACGGGGGTACAGAAGCAGAAAGCTTGTTGTTAGAATGTTATGTTCCTATGGGTGATAACCTATGTTCCCATGGGCAATAGCCAGTGTTCCCATAGGCGATGGCCAAACAGTAATTTTCAGCTTATATAAAATTGATTATTTTTCATGCCACGTGAGCAAGCAGGGTTACACAGGCTAAAATTGGCAGTTAGCGTATGAGCTCATTGTTACAAGTTTCATGATTAACAGAATGCGGTTAGGGGTTCCAGAAACTAGGCCTAAGGTACAGGCTTCCTTTGTCCAGTTTCAGTTTTTAATTACCCTTTAACCCTTTCACATTTCAGCAGGCTATTACAGTTTGACTTGTGTTGGTGATGAATGCCGGGCCATTGTCGGCCCCCAGTGCTAATGGCAAGCCGAATCGGGGTACTATTTCTGATACTAATTTCTTAGCTACTACCTGAGCAGTTTCTCTCCTAGTTGCGAAGGCTTCAGCCCATCCTGAGTAGGTGTCGATGAACATGAGTAGATACTTAAATCCAAAAGTTCCAGGGCTTACTTCTGTAAAGTCTAATTCCCAATGTCCCCCGGGGCTTGGCCCCTGAGTCTTGATCCAATTTGCACTTCAACAGGAGGCCCAGGGTTAACTTGGGCGCAAATATGACATCTTGCTGTTACCTCTTTGGCAGTTTTGTGTAGTCCTGGGATATAATAGTCTCTTTTCAAAAGTTCAATCAACTTTGTTCCTCCTAGGTGGGTGCTCTGATGGACCAGTGAGATTAGTTCCCGACCTAAGGCACTAGGTCCTGGGGTGCGTCCATCCCGGAGGCGAATCTACCCAGTGGGTCCTTTTACCCGCTTTCGCTTACTGCATAATTCAAGTTCACTTGGAGCTTCCCGAGGAAGCCGCTTATAAGGTTTTTTTACTACATCTTTGAATGAACAGATCACAAGAAGCAGAAGTTAGTCGTTAACTCTTTGTACACAGATAAATGCATTCAGGGGAACACCAGCAAACAGGGCCTAATAGACAGTTTTATCATCTTTTCCTTGGAATGTTGCGATTCTCCCTGGGGCTGGCGCCCGGGGACATCACCTCCCTGTCACTGAGTTACTGCTCTCCCTAGGGGCTGGCGCCTGGAGATACCTCTTCCCTGAAACTGGAGAATTTCCACTTTGACAGTCTTAGCCCACCTCCCTGCAGGCAACGTGATTAAACTCTTGCGGCCGCACGCAGCCTAAGCGACCTCGAAGCCCAGATGCCTCTTTGGGGGCAGAAGACAGAAGGGAACGGTGGGAGGCCCGAGGGATGGGGGGCAGGGGGCAGGGGGCAGGCGAGCCACGCCCCCTCGGAGCGCAGGGGGGGAATCCACGTAGCCGTCCCTGGACCACACGCCGTTGTCGTCGTGGTCCGAAGCCCGTTGGGCGTCAGGAGCCCAGCGGGGCCCCGGTCAGGCTGACGCTCCGGCCTGCTGCCATCTGGCTTGGGGCACACGGGGACATTTCAGCTAGAATACCAGGAAGCACGGCACCTGTAGACACGCAGCTACCTGTGCCTCCGCCCAACCTCGGAATCCGGGCATGCGGTGGTGGGCACGGCCCAGCCGAGCATGACACGCCGGCGGAAGGCGTCTGGGAATGACAGCTCTTGCCCACTCTCCTCGTGACTGCTGGGAGATCCCTGAGACCTCTACTTAGTCCCCCACAGAGTCTTGTGAAGCCTTGGGGACCCCCGACAAGCCTCTGTCCCCACCGACCACAACCCATCGTCACAGACTCGGCGGGGAGGAGAAAGAGGAGGCGGGCGAGGGGCCTCTGCAGAGGTTGGCACTAGCGGCTGACCATCGAAGGGACGCGTTTCCTCGCCGTCGCTGTGCTTGATTCAGACGGTGGCGTCCACGGTTTGCACCCCATAAACGACGGCCTTTTCATATCCATTTCAGGACAGTCAACGTTCTGCCACTGGACGTACTGCCTGGATCGATTCTGAATCCGCAGATCAGACTCAGACCTGCTCCCGGAAAACAGGTACGTGGCCCGTTTCACATCTCGAGAAGGGTTTGTGTTTGCGTTGAGAAATGAGTGTTTCTTTTCTCTCAAATACTTAAAACTGTGCTCGGATGCTTCCTCTCTGATTCCAACCCATACGAGGTCTGCGACTTTAACTGTGGCTTAGGAGAGAGGTCAGCAGGCCGTGGTGGCAGCCCACTGCGACCTGGCTGGCTGGTCTCCCAGAGCAAACATCGAAAGGCCAGGGAGCATGCAAAAATCACGCCAGTGCCTCCTGGACAACTATCTCTGCTTTGCCCTGTGCTTTTCCACATCCACGGCTGGACGTGTCCGCACACCCACGTCGACGTGAGCGGCCGGAGCTTTGCACCCAGAAACCATGCTCCGATGGCAGGCTTTCCCCCTGTGGCGCTGAGGGGCCGGTTCCGGTGACAGGTGACCAGCCGTGAGCTCGCACACACTCCTCCCTTGTCCCGAGCGCGTTATCATCCATCGCCTCTGAAATTTGGTTCACTTACTGGATTTATTTAATTTTGTTCCATATAAATGGAACAAAATTATAAATGTATAACTTTAAATAAACACAGAAACGATCATGTCTTCAGCTGAAGTCTTTCTTTTTGCTTGGCTGTACCTCCAAGCCCTCTTCTCCACTAGACCCTTTTCCGCAACCCTCATAATAAGGGGTGAAATGTTGACAGCTTAGCAAGCGCCTTCCCAATTTTCTTCATGCTCGTCTTATACATATGTGACCTGTGGCAGGTGTAGTCATGGCTAGTAAAACCGGACCCTGATACAGCAGCCCCCTTATCCGCAGTTTTGCCTTCCACGGTCTCGGTTACCCACAGTCAACCGCGGTCTGAGAGTATTAATGGGAAATCCCAGAGGTAAACACCGTTCTGAGCAGCGTGACGAGACCCCGCCGTCCTGCTCCGTCCCGCCCCGGGCGTGGACCCCCCTCGTCCAGCATCTCCTCCTGGCTGCACCTCACCGTGTGGGCGCTCCATCTCTCAGTCATCACAAGGAGGGGGAGCTCAGGACAGTAAGGGACGGAGGCGGAGAGAGACCACGTCCCATAACTTCTGTGACAGCCTATTGTTACAACTGTTCTATTTAATGGTCAGTCACTGTCGTTAAGTGCTCACTGTCCTAACTTATGAATGAAACTTTATCGTAGGCACATATGTATGGGACAAACTTACAGGACCTCCAAGGTTCCATGCCACCCACGACTTCAGGCATCCCCTGGGGGTCTTTGAACGTGTCCCCGCGGATAGGGGGACAGCTTCCTGTTTGGCACGTAGACACCCCAAGTGCGCTAGTGTAGCAAACACCACCGAGAGCGAATGCGCCATGATCATCTCGTGATTTCCCTGTGGTCACTCGGTCCCCAGCATTGTTTAACTACCCCAACGTGTGCCATGTTGCAGGAGCTTTAATTTCTGTGGGATCAGAACTTAGAGGTTAAAGGGTTTATGAAGCTTTTGTTTCAAGTGTTGTCGCCAGATTGCTTTGCAAATTCAGCTTCACGTATCTAGCTGCAATCTGTCAGATTGCTTTCTTACTCACAATACCAAACGTGACTCATTGAAATTTTCGCCCATCGGGGTGCTAAAATCTGAAATCTCTTTGTTACTCTAATTTGCTTTTTCCTAATGATGAGTGCATCTAAGCACCTCGTACCATGCCCGTGGCCGTTTGGGTTTTTCTTCTGTGTCATGTCTCCGCAAAATTGTAGTCAAATTTTTATAACTGATTTGTCTTTTCCTTGTCAATTTTTACGAACTCTTTTAGGGTATAAATATCAGCTCCCTTTCATCTGGTTTTTAAGCAGTCTCCCAGTTTATCATTTGCCTATTAACTCTGTTAACTATTTGCATGCAAAAGTTTTAATAGTACACTTTGTCAATTATAGAATTAAACATGTTAATTTATTCTTTCGTAGCATTCGATAAATGATTTAACAAGGTCTTCTCTCACTTTCAGCTTTTTTTTTTTTTTCATCTGGCAGACTCTTTATCTCTCGTTTGCTTCTCAGTGATAGCCTGGCTGGGTAGAGTCACCTTGGTCGCAGGTCCTTGCTCTTCATCACTGGATACTTCGTGCCGGTCGCTCGGGCCTGCGGAGTTTCTGCGGAGGAATCAGCTGACAGTCTTAGGGGAGTGCCCCTGCGGGTAACTAACTGCCCTTCTCTTGCTTGGAAGGTTCCCTCTTTGTCTTTGACCTTGGGCGTTTTAATGACGAGGTGTCTCGGTGTGGGCCCCTGTGGGTTCATCTTATTTGGGACTCTGCACTTCCTGGGCTCGTGTGTCCGTTTCCTTCACCGGGTAAGGGAAGTTTTCCGTCCTTATTTCTTCAAATAGGTTTTCAATTCCTTGCTGTCTCTCTTCTTCTGGTGCCCCTATGATGCGAGCGTTGGTACGCTTGACGTTGTCGCAGAGGCCCCTAAACTATCCTCGTTTTCTTTTTTTTTTTTGGATACTTTTTTCTTGTTGCTGTTGACTGGGTGTTTTCTTCTACCTTGTCTTCCAAATCACTGATTCGATCCTCTGCTTCATCCGGTCTATTGATTCCCTGTCATGGACTCTTCATTTGTAGTCTTCATTTCTGACTGGTTCCCTTTTAAATTTTCCATCTCCACTTTATGTTTTCTGTCTCTTTGTTAAAGTTCTCACAGAGTTCATCCGTTCTTTTCTAAGTGTGTCGAGCATCCTTATAACTAGCGTTTTAAACTCCGCATCTGGTAGATCGCCTGTCTGCAAAGCCAGCGGCTGGAGGGAGCGGGGAATGGGGCGTTGTTTCTAATGAGTATGAGGTTTCTTTAGGGATGATGAGAATGCTCTACGGTAGTCTAGTGGAAATGATTCTATGAGTATACGAAAAGCCATTGACTCGCATAATTTAAAAGCGGTGATTTCATGGTATTTGACTCATATTTCATTCAAGCTGCTAAAAATAGCAGCTGTACTGTTTTCTTCCCTGTGCAGATTTCTCTCAGTAAAGAAAATTGGTTTGTTTAGCCAGAAGGGTGAACGAAGATGAGTCTAGGAACACACCTTACCATGAAGCTGAACGACGGACACTTCATGCCCATACTGGGGTTTGGCACCTCCGCTGCAACTAAGGTGATCACAGCGGCCTTGGGGACTCAGGGGACAGGCGGGGTCCCGATCGGAGCCAGTCACCGTGCGAATCTGAAAGATCCAATGGGCCTCCCTTTCCTCATTTGTAAGATGTGTTACGATTTGTAGGATTTCTCCCCGGGTTAGGTGATTTTTGTGCAGTAAGTCAATACTTTTCAATCTGAATAGGTGTAAACACCCAGGGATCTTGTTAGAAATGCAGATTTGGGGACCCCGCCTGCAAAGGTTCTGACCTTGTAAGTCCGGGAGAAGGTGCCAATGCCCACGTCCCAGCGAGCTCCCAAGGGTCCTGCTGCTGCTCCGAGCACCACACCTGGAGTGGCCAGATCAAGGGACAGGGAAGGGGGTCACCACTTTTTTTGGTTCAGGGGCGAGCAGGTCCGTGTCTGTCACTCTACCCTGCTGTCCGGTCGGAGCCACTTCACATAGAGTGGAAGGAATAAAACCCCGTGGTCAGGATCGCCGCAGCAAGCTCGCCCGTGGCGAAGTTTTCCTGTGACTTCCAACGTCCAGTCGTCCCTGTCCGCCACACTCACAGGACACGCAGGGAAATCTCTGTGGCAAAAGGACCTGGAGAGAGAGTGAGAGACGTGATTAATGCCCGAGAGAGTTTTGGTGGCCCGGGGGTGGGGATGGAGACGGTCTCTCGGAGGCCGGGCGGCTAGGACCGTGCACTGGGAAAGTCTCCGTGGGTGTGGGGCGCTGGACGTCGCGTGTGGCCTGGTCCTCGCACGCGACCTCCCAGCAGCACGGGTTCAGAGGCTCTCGGTGAAGTTCCCGGTTGTTTCAGGGAGGCCATGGGGTTGGTCCCCTCACGCGAGCGCCACGCGGTGTGACTGGGGAGGACAGTGGTGGGGAGTGTTGCTTTTCCTTTGATTTGGCCCCTCGACCTGTGGACGGTCAGCGAATCTCCACCAGGAGTTGAAAAACGTGACAAGACACCCGAGAGACCTTTTAATTACGGAATGAGGTAGAGGGGGTGAGGGTGGGAAACAATTCTGGAGACTTAAAAAGCCTACAGACGGCCTACGTCCGCAGACCGGGAGGCGGAGGGCGAGCCCCAGCCGTCTGCTCACGAGCTTCGGTTGCCTCTTTCCCCCACATTGGGGGGTCGCTGGTGCCAAGGGGCGCGCGTCTGCCCCACAGGAGCTGGCGACCGCAACCGATCAGGGCTTCTTTCCTTCAGAGTCACTCGTGACGCTTTCACCGCCGGCTAGAAGTGACCTCTAGTGTTGTCACCTCCAGCTGCCTCGCCCTTAGACAAGCCACAGGTTCCCTCGATGGCCCTTCCTGAATCAAGCAGGTCTTCGCCTTTTCACGTTGTCCCAGGTGGCTAATAGCAAGGTAGAAGAGGCCACCGAGAGAGCCATCGGCGCTGGCTACCGCCACATCGACTCGGCCTACATATACCAGAATGAAGAGGAGGTTGGCCGGGCCCTCCAGAAGAAGATGGCCGACGGCACGGTGACAAGGGACGACCTCTTCTTCACTACGAAGGTGCTCTGTGTGCGTCTGTGGCTCCCACTCTCGGAGGCACCTGTCCTCGCTCGGCCCAAGCTCGTTGGCTGTCAGACCTCAAGCCAGGGGGCTGGTTGGGGGCCTGCCGGCCGGGACGTGGCTCCTGTAGTCAGACCTCCCACGTCTGAATCCTGCTACGTGTGTGACCTTGGACTTAGGCCCACCAAACCTCAGGCTGTGAAATGCAGATAGTATTTACATCATAGGATTTTCAGGAGCGTTACATGAAAAGTACATATAGAACTTTTTAAAAAGCATTTAATATATTTTAAATGCCAAAAAATTAATATATTTTAAATGCTGTTATTAGATAGCCGTCATTATCATATTTTTTAAAATTCAGGAATAGATTTGGCTTTTCCAACTCGGACATGCTCAAGTTTTGACACAGTGACTTCATCTTTTCTTAGCTATGGTATGAGGTAATGCCATTTAGTTTTTGGAAACTAATAACCAGTTTCAGCTCTTTAATTGTCTCTATATTTGACCTTGTGAAATTTCTTAACTGAAAAAAGTTTTTTAACCTCTCTGAGCTTTAGCCGTCGTATCTCAACCTATTACCTGGTCCATAAATATTTATTTTTCCTTCCGATGAAGGAGAAATAGTAATCTCACAAAATCGATGAAGAACTCACGAGCTTCACGGGGTGGTTTGTCACTGGCCATCGACTGTCAGCGGGTTATGGTTGTTGATGGTTATTTGCTATTTTAATTAAATCTCTCCTAGGGAGTCGTGAAGAAATAATCCCACTTTTGATTGTTGCAGCTGTGGAGCACCTGTCTTCGTCCAGAATTTGTCCAAACCATCCTGGAAAGGTCCCTGAAGAAACTTCAGCTGAGCTATGTGGATCTTTGCCTTATTCATTTTCCAGTAGCTTTGAAGGTTAGCAGAAATCGTTTCACTCTGGTTATCGATTGAAGAATCGAAGCTGAAAACAGAGGGGATATAGTTTGTGGAAACGAGAAGAAACACAGACAATGCTTTGAGGTCCCCCCCCTTTTTTGTGACCACCCCCATCTGAGTTTGCTATTCCAGCCCCCCAATGGCGAGAGTTCCCCGGTCTCGACCTCAGTCCTGTATCTCCCAGGCCCTGTGCTCCTGGACCTCAACCTTGTATCTGGGGACCGTCCCCATGTGGCCAGTTGAGGTAGAGGACATTTCAAGAGGGGGAGACAGCCCTGAGCTGCCGACAAGTCGCTCCCTCGTGTGACCTCGTCCAGGAGGGAAGCGGGTAGGAGTCCAGGACCAAGGGGCTTGCCAAACCCTGGCTGCCTCCCGAGCTCCCCCGGGGTGGTGTCCTGGGTGTCCTAAGTTGTCCTCGGCACAAACAGTATTTATGAAAGCTTCAGAGTTAAAAAAAAAAATTTCTAGACCATGTCTTTGCTACCCACGGTTCTTTCCCAAGAATGAGGATAGGCTGTCGCATTAGCCTCAAGGTCTACGGGCTCCCAGCGGCTTCTTTCCTATGTTTCAGTTTGGGGAAGAGCTCCTTCCGAAGGACACACAGGGCAGACTCATTTTTGACCAGGTGGACCTGTGTGCCACGTGGGAGGTGAGCGCGGCCTCGGGCGTGGGGGCGGCGTGGGGTGGGAGCGGGGCCCGTCCAGTTCTGCCGCCCGTGCAGACTCTGGCGCGTCCCTCGCGTCCCTCCGCCCGGGTATGTCAAGTCGCCCATTGAATTCAGTAAACACTTGCTGAGAACTTCCAAGCAGTGAGGCGACATCGGCCGATGCGGCCGTGATCTCCGCCCCCGGAGGTCGGAGGTCGGCGCTGTGAGGGCGCCGGGGTGTGGGGGGCGGCGCTCGGGCGCAGGGAGGCGATGGAGGATCGGCCCCCGCCCGGCCACGCTTCCCCGGGCGCTCGGCCGGCTCCTCTGGCCCTGGCCTGGCCTGGCCACTCGATTCTTATCCTCTCGCCCACCTTTTCCATCTCTTTACTTTTCATTCTCCTCCCACCAGGGCGACCCCCGTCTCGTGTACGGCCACCTGTGCCTTTCGAGACTTCCTCTCCCTGCGCCTCACAGTGTCTCCCGCTCCCAGCCCCCAGGCTCCCCGCACCCCACTCGTGACCCCTCACAGCTGCCTCCTCCCCAGGCCATGGAGCACTGCAAGGAGGCGGGGCTCACCAGGTCCATCGGGGTGTCCAACTTCAACCGCAGGCAGCTGGAGCTGATCATTAACAAGCCCGGGCTCCGGCACAAGCCCGTCTGCAACCAGGTGAGCCCGACGCCCGCCCGGCCCGGGCCCGGCCCG